GGAAGCTAATAGGGACATCTACCTGTCCCCAGACCGGTCTGGCTCTTCCTTTAAGAACTCAGAGAGGAGAGAGAGGCTGGGCCACTACGATGAATACTACGGCAGGTCCCGGAGGCGGCGAAGCCCCAGTCTGACCCGCTTCTACAAAAGGAACGGAGAAGCCGAGAGGAAAAGAAGAAGCACCCACAGGGATAAGAAGTCTCACAGACACACAGCCAAAAGCCGTGAGAGGCACAGTTCCCGAAGTAGAGAAAGAAAAAGGGACCGCAGTTGGGGCCGCGGCAGCCGGAGCAAGAACCACCGGAGCCGAAGCAGGAGCCGGAGCAGAAGCAGGAGCCGGAGCTGGAGTCCAAGCCCCTCTAAGTTCAGGAATTACAGTGGGAGAAGGTCAGGTAGTAGAGATGGAATTGTTCATAGCCCCAAATCCAAATAAATCGATTTTTTTAAATGATCGCATATGTTATTTATTATGGCTGCTCTCTACCTGGGTACAGGGCTCTGAGTTTAAATGGATTAGCAAGTCTGATAGCACCCCATATCATCGATAACTCTTTTAAAAGTATTAGCTTGGCTGGCGTGGCTCAGTGATTGGGTGTCGATCTATGAACCAGGAGGTCACAGTTCAATTTCTGGTCAGGGCATATGCCCATGTTGTGGGCTTGATCTCCAGTAGGGGGCGTGCAGGAGGCAGAGGATCAATGATTCTCATCATTGATATTTCTATCTTTCCCCTTCCCTTCCTTTCTGAAATCAATAAAAATATATTTTAAAAAATACTTTTTTTCTCTGATAACATACGCTTCTTTTAGAAAACATAAATGTATAAATAATATGAATACTACTTGTAATCCTAACCCTTAAAAATAACCAGTTAACATGGAGCATTACTTTAGTCTTTTTAGTCTTTTTTCCTCTTATGGGTGTGTGCACATTTTTTACACAAAGAACAGATGGCTGCAGTTGAATATGCTTTTTGTCACAAAATATTGTCATACTTTCTCAAGGCCTATTCTGAATGTTACTTTTACTCACTGCATAGTGTGGAACTCTTAATTTATTTAACCATATCCTTCTTGTTGAATTTTAAGTTATTTTAACTTTTACACTATTAAAAAACCCTGTGCTATAAACAAATAATCCTGTGGTAGATTTCCTTTCATATATTTCTGATTATTTCCTTAGGATAAATTACCTTAAGAGATATGAATATTGAAGTATTTCCAAATTGCCCTCCAGAAAAACTACACAGATCATCAATAATAAACTTTGCTATTCCCACACCCCACATTTTTATTTTTCACCAACTTGGTAAATTTTATGTATTTACCTTTGTTTTGGTACAATTGGCTAAGTAAAATACTTCTTGTATATTTAATGGCCATTAAATTTGGTTGTTTGCCCTTTATTAATAATCTGTTGGATTTTTCTACATGCAATAGCTGAACCGTTTGTTTTACTTTAAAATTCACTTTCTCAGTTTTAAAGTACTATAGGGTAGTTATTTATTTATTTTTTGCCTCCCTCCTATTCCCTATTTGCAGTCCCTCCTCAGAAGTTTTCCATTAGGGTGTTCATTTTAAAAAAATATATATATATATAGTATATTGGAGAGTTCACTATAGACAGGTAAATTTTTGTCATTTCAGGGAAAATGGGAGTTGTAGCTACTGAATATGCCTAGTGTTACAGCAATTCTGTGGTTAGAGAACATTCTATTCTAAAAGCTTAATATAAAATAATTGTTCTTAGATTTCAGATCATAAAAGCTCTCACGCTTCCTCATAAATTTTTAAATTTTCTTAGTAACCTTTCCATTGACATATTAGGGATCTTGAATTTCAGAGTATATGGAAATAAGGTCTTAAAGATACACAAAATAGCGGAAGTTACTTAGGAATCTTAGGAATAGAAATTTCTTCAAGATTAGGATTTCTGAGTGATACTTGTTGAAAAAGTCCTTTAATCTGTAGTCTATAAAAGAAAGTATGTGGTCCAAAATACATTTTACTTTAAAAATTGATTGGTTCCAGACTTTAAATGCCTGTTTTACCATAAAAATGATTGTAAATTTTCTGTAATTATCTATAGCAAGCATGTCAAACTCGTGGCACAGGCCACATTCCTCATTTATTTGGGCTGTGTTAGCCTTTGAGTTTGACATGCTTGATCTACAGGATTCACTAATGCCAAATAATTATCACTGAATTCAATATGTTTAATAAGTTATACACAATTAAAGGTGGTATTCAAAGCTGAACAGTCTTGAGTAGATCATGGAAGGAAAAATGTCAGAGGTTAAACACCAGCTTGTGCTCTATCAAGGTTATGAGTTATAGTATTAAGTGGCAGTGTCATATGGAGGGGAAGCAGTTTTTGTTTTGATTGATTCGAGAGGGAGGGAGAGAAACATCAATGATGAGAGTATCATCAATTGGCTGCCTCTTGCTCCTTCCCTCTTACTGGGGCTTGAGCCCCAAACCCAGGCATATGCCCTGACTGGACCTCCTGGTTCAGTGATCAGCAAACTAGCATGTGGCTCGCGAGCCACATTTGGTTCTTTGGCCCCTTGAGTGTGGCTCTTTCACAAAATACCACGTGCGGGCACGGACATACAGTGTGATTAAAACTTTGTGGTCCATGCGCAGAAGTCAGTTTTCGACTCTCAAAAGAAATTTAAATCGTCGTACTGTTGATATTTGGCTCTGTTGACTAATGAGTTTGCCGACCACTGTCCTGGTTCATGGGTCAGTGCTCAACCACTAAGCTACACCAACTGGGCAAGAAGAAGCAGTTTTTAAACCACAGACCAGTTCATTATCCTGAAAAACGTCCATCTTAAATATTGTGTTTTTTTTTAAACTTACTAGTATAACCTGATTACCACTTATAATTCAAAAATTCCAACTTTACATTGCTCACAGCCCAAAGACCTGTTTTCAGGGAATAAATAGCAATGTGTTAGAGGCTCTTTAAATCAAGATTATTTTTTTAGCAGACTAGCAGATTAATTTGATAAGTTTTTTGTTTTTTTCTGGTTCATAGATATTTCCACCCACCTCTAACCCCCCCCCACATGTATTTCTCTCTTTGTTTCCTCATTCTTAAATATCTTTGTAATATTTAACATTCCCCATCTGTGGTTAATATCCCTTAACTAAGCTTTGATTTGCTGCTTATGAGACAGTAGTTGGCAAAATCAGTTTGTTCTATGAGTGTGCTACCCTGTTTCCCCGAAAATAAGACAGTGGTTTAAAAACTGCTTCTTCTTGCCAGTTGGTGTAGCTTAGTGGTTGAGCACTGACCCAGTGGAATTAATTTTTCCTTCCAAAGTTGCGCTAGGTCTTATTTTCAGGGGATGTCTTATCTTTTCACGCGCTAGGTCTTATTTTCGGAGGATGTCTTATTTTTGGGGAAACACGGTAGTACCTCCAGTTCATGGATCAGGGATGGGGTCCCACCTGCTTTGGAATACTTTCTATTACCTGGAGTAATAAGAGTTGCTCATTCATAAAGAGGAGAAAAGTCAAGTGCATCAGGTTTTAAAAGCGGCATTTATTAATTGAAAATAAATGTGCAGATAGGCTCTCTGTAGCATGGAATCCACATTGTTTTTTAATGAACTTGAAGTATATGAAGACTCCTTATATCTGCCATTTATCTCGTGTGTGCTTTTAACAACCACCACATTCAAATGGAGGTGAATATTCAACACGATAACTGAAAAAAAAACAAGGCCTTAGAATTTTTCCTTCAGCAACTCTCCACAGTTTGACAAGCTTTTGGGAAGAGAGAGAAAAACACACTACAATAGTGTACATTGAACATTTATTAAAACTAATTGGCGATGTGATGAAACATTGCACACATGGCCTGAATATTAGTCACAATCACGATAAAGCTTAATCCAGCCCAGCAAATACAAATGAGAGTATGAACCGTGAAGATGAGTTTACATATGGAGTATGTATAAAGGTGACATTGAAATAGCTCTTAAAAATAGAGGGCCTACTAATGCCATTTCACCTCAGCTCTCACTTTGATATGAAAGGTGGTATGCTTATAGTTTTATAAGATTTCTCATAACTATTTCTCAGTGCTATTGAAGGGCAGGGAGCTCTTAAAGTTTGCAGCACTTCTAAGTGGCAGGAAGCAATAAAGGAGAGCAACATAAATGTGGCTGCAACCAGCACCCCAGAAGGAACCTTCGTGCTTTAAATAACATAGTGAACACTTGGTGGAGAGGAACATTTTCCATAAGGATCGGTCATGAAGAATTCCTGGCAAGTCAACGTTTGATTTTGTTTTGGGGCATCAAAATCCAACTAAGTGACAAAATGATTATGACCACAAAATTTGTCTCAGGAGTCTAATGTTCCTTGGCCTTAAAAACAATATGCTTGCCATTATGAAACAATCTCTTCTTCATCCCAGGTTTAGAATGCCAAAGAACTAATTTTCAGAGTAAAATGGTATACTTCCAATTTAGTCTGTGTGTATTCCCTTTTTTTTTTTTTTTTTTTTTTTTTTAGGTACGTAGTTTCCAAATAGGGTCTTTGGTATAAACTTGATGTTTTTCTTTGAAAATTTCAACATAGTTTTCATTCATTTGATATGTGATATGTCAATTCCCTTTATTCTCATATATTGGAGTGCACTGGCTTTTGGCTTCATACGTTCCCTTTGCCAAAGACAGTAGTTAATAAATGTATTTAACCTGATTGTCATTTTCATAAGATATCCAATTAAGAGAAACAGACCTATAAACCTTAAAATACCCAGGTACCTTTCTTTTTCTCTCTCTTTCTAATTCATGTAAGTCCCTTATCAATTGATTAACCAAAATTCCCTTTAAAAAAAAATTGTGTAGGCCTGAATGAAGCAGCTTAGTGAAACAGTAATACTGACAAGACATCTTACACCTTTAGCTAACATGGACATGAAGGCAGTGACCATCTACAGTGTGTGAAATGCCACAAGAAGTCATCAACAGGGGAGGAGAGTTATGTCAGTCCAATCTCTTCAAGAACACTACGTGGGGTTTCGGCTTCCTGCGGAGGGAAAATGTGAGACTCTGGTAAGCAGATGTGGGGTGGCTTGAGAATGTGAAACTGACAAAAGACTTGCAAGTTTCAGAGAAGGAAAGCAGTTCAGTGGTATGGGCATGTTCTGTGAGCCAGTGGTTATTTAGGGTTTTATATCCCATACATAGGAAGCCATAGAATATTTTCAGCATGCATTAAATATATACACTGAGTGGCCAGATTATGATTTCTGAACACATAATAATCTGGCCACTCATTGTGTGTGTATGTATTAGAGGCCCAGTGCATGAATTCATGCATGGGTGGGGTCCAGCCAGCCTGGCCAGGGGGAGGGGACATAGGCACTTGGCCGGTCTGCCTGCTTGTCGAACTCCTGGTCAAGGGGACAATTTGCATATTAGCCTTTTATTATATAGGATATAAACTGAGTGGCCAGATTAAGCATTCAGAGATCATAATAATCTGGCCACTCGGGGTGTGTGTGTGTATGTATTAAATCTTATTGTTAAAAGTATTACATTGATTACTGACCAATAATTTCTATAACACAAAAAGCAGTCAAACCCACTGGCAATTTAAGAAATCATTGCTATCGAATTATCTAGCTACAGAAAAGGTAAGTTATCCTAGTGTTAAAATTCACCCACCCCCTCCCTATATAAAAAGCAGGGGAAAACCTCAGTTGTCCCAATTCTTCACATAATTTTGTTTCATGCTTTTATTTTTTTGGGGGGAGGAGGGGGATTGTCACATGTATTTAAAGGAATGTCTTCCTCTCAAGAGTTTTTACCCAGTTTTTCACTCACCTCCTCAAACCTCCCCAGGGCAACCAATGACTTCAGTGGAGGCAACACACACACACACAAAATGCTTGGGGATAAAAGGCATTTTTGTCTTATGTAACAACCAATACTCATTTTTTAACATCAAAGGAAGACAAAGCCGGCATATATAGAAAAAATTATTTAAAAAATTCTCTAAGTGGCTGATTTTGCACTTCACTAAATATAAAGGGACCAAGTAGATCAAATTTCAAGTGTTACTTGCAACAATTTTATAATTAAAAGGCATAGTATGTTTCCATGAAGGAAAATAATGTAATTTTTAGTATCTAATTATAAATTACTTACTTTTGCATCCTAATTATGGTACAGCACAAAATAAGGAAAAAAATATATTAAATCATAAATCCATATATTAGATGATATGTAAAACACTACATAGAAAAATATTAAATTACACTTTAGCTCCATGGTCTGTTGCCTTGTTGGGAAAGCAAGAATCAATAGTACTTACCTTCATGTGTAGAGATTAAGGGAGATAAGTCTTAGTGCCAGATTTATAGGACGTGCTAAACATTTTAACTGGTAGCATTACACAGTTGAAATCTAAAATGAAGGTACTTAGCATTCAGTAGCAAAAGAAGTACTATAAACCAACTCTCTAAAGTTCATATGATGACCTTTAGTATGTTTGTATATTAACGAAAAATGGGTAAAAATCAGCTTTGGTAAAAACGATTATTTTTTACGAAGTATTTTTGCTCCTCCAAAATTGAACCTCAACCTAACCACACTACAGAACTAAATATGAAAGAAGAAAACAAGTTAAAACATCACCACAAGTTTACAAGCAGCAAAATACAGAATGGAGGGAATTTTACGACATAGGTGACTCCGTTAACAGCAAAAAGGTTAAGGGGGAAGAAAGCAGAGGAGTTCTTAAAAACTGAGACTTAAGAGACATCAGCTAGATACAATATGAGCCTTGTTGGAATCTGGTTCTGACAAGCCAATTATAAAAATACATTTTTCAGATGATGAGGTTGACACAATACCTGCTGAGCTAAGGAGGCAGCTTGTTTTTCAGACTATTGGGAAAAAATGAGCCAGAAATAAGATATTAGGAATTACTGTCAATCTTATGAGGTGTGGTACTCATCTTTTAGGGATGCATACTTTAGTTTCAAAGATGATAGGATGTCTAGAGCTTGCTCTAAAATACCGAGGGCAAAATGGGGTGGTGGCAGATGAAATAAGTAATCAGAGTATTGAGCTGATGGTTATTGAAGTTGAGCAATGTAATGTATAAATGAGGGTTACTAGTACTGTTCTATTTCCATGTCTCAATTTTCATGATATAGCTTTTAAAGAAAAGCCAAAGAAATTATGTAACACTCCCAAGAGTGATATAAGCCAATCTCTCTTTTATAATGTTTAGCTTTAAACATTATATGCACTGAATCACATACATAATAAAATGAAACAATTTAAAAATAATTTTCATTTGACATTAAGTAATTTTTAGTGTCATACAAACTTTAATGTATTAATTAAAGGGTGCCTACATTCAATTCTGTAGTTACCCATGTAAAAATGCCCCTCATCCTACTCTCTGGAGCTGGCCAGATTTCCCCTGTGTGCTCACTGTCTGCAATCTTAAATAGCATTTCTCAATGAGAACCATGCTGCTTATCAAGTACACATTATTTAAAATATGTGTCCTTTCTAAAGGGCATAGATTCAAAGAATTATTTGCACATTTTATTCCTTTGAAATGTGTCATATAAAATATAATTTTCACACGTTCACATTGAAATTGTAGCTCAAAATTACTAGAAAAATTATTGCCCAAGAGTCAAATTCATAAAAACACAGAAGTAGAAGGGTGGTTACCAAAGTTTGGGGGAAGAAGGAAATGGGGATTTTTTTTAATGGGTACAGAGTTTCAGTTTTGCAAAATGAAAAATTTCTGGAGCTCTATCACAACAATGTGAATATGCTTATCATTACCGAACTGTGTACTTATTAACAATGGTTAAGCTGGTAAATTCTGTTATGTGTTTGGTTGTTTTTTTTTGTTTGTTTTTTTTACCACAATTAAAGAAATTAACTGGAAAAACTAAAATGTAAAATACATTATCAAAAGGAATGGAGAAGAAAAAAGTCATTCACATGAGACAAAATACATGCAATACTTTTATTTTAGACATGCAAGGCAAGCTATTTCAGAATTGACTAATTTAAAGCAAGCAGCTGTATACAGAAAACAAAAGAAGCAACATATTGTTACAGCTCAGCACACAACATTCGGAGCAAACAGGCATGAGACAATGCATATTTATGCACCATTAAAACCAGATAAATAATACATTGCAAGGCGGGATGGAGGGGAAAATGGAAATGAAAGACCAATGTTTCCCAATGCTTTCCATGTAAAATGCCAAATTTCTCATTTGATGGCCCATCCAGGTGCCATGGTAAGAATGGTAAGAACTGATCTGCATGCCTGCCTGATACACATTTTCATGGTCTTCCTTTAGTGGTAAACCAGTGTGAGCATCTTTTGAATTTACTGTTTAATGATAGCTTACTTAACTCAAGCTTTGAACTCTCTAAGGTGTAAACAATGAATTATTTGGTACTTTCCTTTTGTAATAAAGTATGTTGCATGTTTCATTGAAAGTATACACAATAACGATCAATATTAAGAAATATAAAACCATAGTTAATGAATCATAAGAATTTTAAATGAAGACTATATGATAAAACCATAACCATTAAAATGTAAGTATTTAAACTGAATATTCAAATTTGGCTATACTCAGTATTAATGCTTTGAAAGAGTTACTTAGTATTAAATAGATATTGCAGATCAGATTTTCTGACATAGCTTTCTGTTAGTTTTTAAAGGATTGTTTGATCTTCAATAAATGTGGCATTACAAATTTCTTAAAACTGTGTTTCACCTTAAATTATGTCAGTACAGATTTTACTTTCTTGTATTTCTGAATACACTTTTATGTAATACATTAAAACACATTAGCTCATATGGATTGTGATATAGTTATACTAAATATTTTTTTCAAAATTTGAACACCAAGCCACACTATATATTATGGCACTAATTATTTGGACTTAGCATTTCAGCTGTGTTTTCTTTGGTAAACATTGTAATGATTGCTAAGTTTTCTTCTTAACAAGATTAATCACAAATGGCTCACAAATGACATGGATGTGTTTAAGATGAAATATTACTAAAGCATTCATAGGTCTTATTTTTTAAGAAATTAAACCAGCTGCAAGCAGAAATAAGCTACATCAAGATCACATATAGAATGAAAAGAAAACAAAAAAGAGAAACAAGAACAGGAACACAGTTACAATTGTAAAGGTGTTGATTTAAAACATTCTATTATTATAAGATGGTCACCAAGCTGAGGATATTTTCTTTCATAAGTATATCAGCTCTCTATTTCCTCTGTAAGAGTCTGCATACCCGTCGAGTAGTCAGTTAGTACACTGGGACATTAAAATATTCATGACGTGGCTACAAAAGAAATGCATATGTTCTTATACACAGCATACAAACTGACAGACATAATTAGATTTCTAGAAGGTTTAGTTCACAGTAAAGAAAACTTAAATTTCTGATTTTGTTCTTTGGTTTATAGCTGAATATTTTAACTACTAAACAATGTCCAGGAGTTCACACTCATCTTTTAATTTGACTATATATATATATATATATATATATATATATATATATATATATATATATATAAAGTATAGATATAGATATATAATCAAAATGACCTACATCCTACAGAATCCTAAAGTATTTTCAGTGTAAGTCATCTGGTCAATGCGGAGTTAACTGAAAATGCAAGTACATACTCCCTCCCGCCAGTACATTCAAGTTCATCAGGATTTAATTCCGCTAAGTCAAAGAATTTAAACCCTTAATGAAAGTCATTACATCCTAAGGTGACCATAAACTCTTTTGTAGACCCTAAAGGGAAAATCTTTCCCAAGAAAAGGTAGAAAAGTAGTCACCCATCTGTATCTTAAGTAGCAATGGAGGTTTTAACGGTTCACTTAGCTTTAAAAAGCAAAAACACCCAAAGACTAGGCCTTTAGGATCAAGGATATATCACTTTTGAAATAATCTTTTAAAGAAATCTCCAAGCAGATCTGTTCAGTGTCTATGCCTCCAAATGTATGTAA